ACCAAATAAACTGCTGGCACTTGAAGGTTCGCTGGCAAATAATTCTTGTGCTTGAACAGGCTGAGGCTGTGTAGATTGTGCCCAATTTCCGTTGTTTGTGGGTGCAGGAGACGCGAATAAGCTGTCAGCAGTTTGGTATCCATTATTGGGTGGGGCAGGAGAGTGAAATGAACTGCTACCGGGATGAGAAGACGAAGCAAATGGGTCCACTGGTGCGCTTGGTTGCTGTTGCGGTGCCTGTTGCTGTTGCTGCTGCTGCTGCTGCTGCTGTTGCTGTTGGTAGCCATTGCCTTTAGGAGGTTGAACAGCGAATGGGTCGTGGGCTGCTCCATTGCCAAACACATTTCTGTTCTCCTGTGCAGCGAATGGGTCCTTCTGAGGCGCGTGTCCAAACATGGCTCCTCCATTTTGGGTCGGCGAAGCAGCAAACGGGTCCTTTGGAGGCGTTGTAGCATTCCCGAACATGGCTGCATTCCCCGTAGCGGGTTTAAAGGGGCTGGTTGTAGAATTCGACTGGCGCCTGTACGGGTTGTCTCCGGACAACTTCTGGGCCGGAGGTGGGCCGCTAGCGAACAGCTCAGAGGCTGAGCCTGGTGTCTGCTGTCTGTTTCCCTCTCTACTGCTAGGTGGTCCACGACCCCACGGCTGTTGGCTGCTATCGGCGTTGAGGTCCACGGTCTCGTACATGGCTCCAGTGGACTGCGACGTGAGCGGGATTTCCTCAAATCCGCTGGGAGGCTGAGGTGGTTGGTAGTAGAACGGACCGCCGGGCGCCGCGCGTTGATACGATCCACGGTTGCCAGCATGATAGGAGCCCCCAGACGACTGTGGAGGCGCCGGGATGGGCGGCCGCGCCGCTCGGGGGCCCTGGGACCCGCCCGAGTCGACGAAGTGCTGCAGCAGCCGGTTCATGTCGAGGAATTCGAATGGGGCAGCCGAAAATGGGTAGGTTTTAAAATGGATACATGAATGAAAATAGGTATTAATACCTGCTTTCTATTTCTCAAAGTGTACCGTACCCTTTTTGAAAATGCAAAATGGGTACGCGAAGTCGAACTCTCAAGTACTTGCCCGGCCACGAGCTGCGCTTCGGCATTGCGGCAGTGTCGCGAGATCCAGCGACCGGAGACGTGGACGAAGCTGTTTGTCTGTTCTGTAAGCACTTTGGGCGGGAGCAACGCGCTGACAAGAAACGCAAGAGCGCGAGTACCGTGAAATACTTCCGAGACTCCTTTCGGCCAGACCAATATACACAGCACCATCAGCTACAGCACCCGACTCAATGGACGAAGTACAAAGGGGCTAGTAGCGACGAAAAGCGCAGGTTCTTCCCTCAGACCAAAGCAGGAGAAAGTACTCTTACTACCGCAAATAGTAGTACTACTACCAACGTGCTGATACCCAATGTACAGGAGCGAGGGCGCTGCTTCGACGTCAAGGCGGCCATTGTGGAGGTTGTGGCGGTGTTAGCAGTGGGTTTGGGACCTATAGAACCCACAGTACAAACGAGAGATCGACTGGTGTATCAATATATGACCCACCATAACTATGAAGGAGAGCTGCCGTCCAACTGTCCACGATGGTCTCCACCCGCCGATACGTTCGAGAGCTGCTATGTGGTGCAAAGGGATCCGCCAGTGTATCGTGTTGTATTATACTCTAAAACCCAATTGGATGTTTTAATGGAGATGGCGGCGGGAGGGTTATCAGGAGCTCAAATATCGGCTTCGGTGAAGACTTTTCGCCATCATGCACCCATGTTGTTAAGGGATTTAGTGGAGAATACTAACAAGAGCGGACCCATGTCAAAGAAAAATGTAGCCATGGCCGTGGAGAGAGAGGAAGAGAAGGTTAAAGAGATATTTCGAGTGGAAGATGTGACTCCAGAGTACAGTGAAGCTCAGACGGCAGAGTTTGTCAGACTGGGCGTCGCCGCGAGTTTGAGTATCATTGCGAGATTACTGGAAGACTCGTGGGTATTCTCGTTAGAGCTCTGCACTGTGGCTCAGCATCCGATGTTCTCGTATCTGGATATACGCGTTAGATTTTACAGTCGGATAGGAGGATTACGAAGTGCCCATTTGTTGGCGATCCCCAAGTATGTTGGCAAGTGTGACATTATGATGTTCCAGACTCTGGATCGTGTGCTTACTGCGTTACTGCCCGATTGGAAGAAGAGATTATTGGGTATTATTACTACCGGAGATATCCCCTTTCCAGCGCGTATAAGCGAAGTCATTAAGCATTTCCAGAACGAGACAAAAGGGTCGGCGCTGTACCGCACATCAAACTGCATCAGCCAACTTCAACACGCTCTACAGACATTTTACGCATCAATTGACAGTGGGTTTTTCCTCCAGACGCTGAGAAAACTGAGTCAGTATGTTCGTAAAGACCCTCGCGTTTTGTCGGAGATGAAGAGACTGCCAGGATACTGGGAACAATTTGACTCTAAAGTGCATTGTGCTTCTAGTACTCCTGTGGCATTTGGACAAGAGATCGATATGCTTGTGGCCCACAGTGGATTTCTTCAAGAACACTTGAAAGAATTCACGGCAACAACGTTGAGGATTCCTGTATCTTGGTGGTTGGAGCTCCAAGCCTTACAATGGGTAACTGCTCGTGCCAATGCCGTCTTCGGGGTGTTGCAGAAACAACATGTGACCATTTCTCAGCAAGCAACAGTTATGGCCAGCTTGGCAGAAGAATACATCACTGGTTTCCACGCTCAGATCCACGAGAACAGAAACTCAGTGTCTCAAACAACCTCCACCGAGTACATTTCTCTAGACAAAAGGGTTAGTTTGTCTAAAACGAACTTGGTACAGTTCGTTGTGAGCTCCAGTGAACTTGCACGCGAATTGTTGAAGCACGGAGGTAGTGAAACCATCACAGCCACCGCCGAACACTTTGCTTCTGGTGTTGTGAATATGATCGCGTCGCTGGTCGAACTCAGTGTCAGTCTAAAGCAACAATCTGCTGCTTGCAACGTCGACACTCGTACCAATCAAAGTACCGTCGTGGAGGATGTACTGCCCCCAATTATGCCACACGAGTTGGCACAGCTTAGCTCGGACGAGTTTGATGAGCTGCTGGAAGCACATGATGCAACATCGCGGACTCTCGATGATAGTGATGCTCAGGCTATTCGAGAAGAGCATGAATTACTATGCTGCACATTTGCCAAGGACGAAACTCTTCGGAGGGCTTTAGAAATGCATACGCAAGGCACATTTGACGCGGCTTGGAGTCTGATGGATGCCCGTTTTAAGTCTCTTGAAGCCTTTGCCGGTGGACTCGCGACGGTGTGTCCGTCAAATGTTATTCCATTAAGCGACACAAAAGCTGAAGATCTGGTGCTTTGTCCGAAAGATATGGAGGAAGCAAGATTATTACTCGCAGACTTTGAGCTGGAAAGCACTCTGCATGCACAACAGTTCCTGCCACTCACGAAGCTACAGGAAGAAATTTACGACCGTGTAATCGCTGAAAGGCGAACTCGAAAGCGATATAAAGCAACGACAAACACAAGCTAGAATTTAGATCAAATACCAGCCACACGACCAGTCACTTCAACTTGATGTGTGTCAAATATCCGAATCT